AGGACAAGGAAAAGAATTGTAGGATTTTTAGCTACTTCTCAATGTGTGGACTGAGATTAGTATTTCCAGCCAACAATATAATGGGTGTTATTTACCAAAATCGGCTTCCGGGTTTTATAGCCAAAACCTAAGGCTCCGTTTACACCTATGCAGTTTGCCTTTTGTCCGTTTTGCAGTGCTTTTCACAGTTCGTTTTGCTTTTTTGTTTTAGTTTTTTTCCTACACGCGTTTTTGATGCGTTTTTACCGCGTTTTGCAATTTGTTCAGCTTTTTGTTAAAGTGGAATTTTTTTTGTTGCTGAGCAGAATAATGTGGCAAAAACGCACTATTATGTATTTCAGCAGCTTCTCCATTGAACTCTATTGTAGCAAAAACGCTGCTTTTTGCTTTTAAGAAAGTCCCTGACCCTTTCCAAAAACTGAACAGCTCAAAAAAGCATAGATGTGAACACGCTCCATAGGAAACCAAGTTAAATGTACTGTAGTGCGTTTCTGCAAAAAGCACAAAAAAATAGATTGGTGTGAACGGAGCCTTATTGAACAAGCAGAAGTTGGAAGCTGATTGGCTACCATACACAGCTGCACCAGATTCTGAGTGAACCAGTTTTAGTAAATCTCACCCAGTGTGTTTTTAGAGGTATCCTCATCTCAGTCTTTCTACTCTTTTTAAATACCTAAAGTCTGATATTTTTCCTTGAGGGACATTTTTGACCGACCCCCCTCTCCCCCCTCTGCCTGTAAATTTAAAAGCGATCTATACACTAAATGGATGACATTTAATTTGTTAAATATTGTGTATCATTAAAAAATGGCACTTGCTTGATTTTACTATTTTATCCTTTTTTTCATTTCAGTACTGCCGATATGCTGCATCCTTCATTTCTCCGTCCTGACCATGATTGAGCAATGTGTTGGCAATGGCATGGCTGATTGTCATCTCTGCCAGTGATAGGGAGAAAATGCAGGAGCACAATTGGGAGACAAGTTGTCATTTGTCAAGATTTCTACCTCCACCAATCAGAGGAAGCCTTGTATTTATTGATAAAAATCAAGGCTTCTCTTGAATGGCAGACTAATCCCGACTCAGGAATTGGTGCATACTGCTGATAGAACACATCGCCGCATACAGCTACAACAGTATATTACAGCACACAATGGATGCATCATTATGTAATGGAAATAGTTTTGTTTTAGTCAACTTGGCCCAGGGAACTATTTAAAATGATAGGAAAGCTGGAATTCTACAGACTTGACGCAGAACACAAACAGCTTCAATAGCAGTACTATTACTTCTACTTCCAGCTGTAAGACATTGACAGACATTCTAAACTTTCCAAACTCTATTTTAGGCCCCATGTACACGGGACACTTCTGAACGATGGAAACTGACTGCTGGAAAACGTAGGTTAAAAAATGTCTGTTTAGCCGCATTTGCATAACGCATTTATGCGCATTTATACATGTTTATGTGCGTTTGCGTTTTAGAAGCGTTTTCTAAAGATAAGCACAGGAGAACCTCCAAAATGCCCAGAATGCACTTAAAAGTGGTCAATTATTAACTATTTCAGACTGTTTCAGAGAAAAACAGAGAGTAGAAGCAGAGACAGCAGTAGGTGTTGAGATTAGCTTAGGTGTGAGTTGCTCATTAACATTTCTTTTGTTTCCAAGGGTGGGAAAGGCATCTGGTGGAGTGAGTCATTAAGGTCACCTAGCAGGGGGTCTTCATGAGGAATTTGAGGTGTGAATGGTCATTAACATATCTTTTGTTTACAATGGTGGGAGAGATCTGAGGTGTGAATTGGTCATTACAATGTGTGACAAGCTTGGTAGGAACATCCTGTGTTCAGTGTTTTGTACCTTGAAAATGCTTTGCATGCATTTTTTCATGGTGCAGAAAGACTCTGGACAGCATTCGGAACTGGAAGAGTTAAAAAAACATTTCAAACGCTTATAAACACATTTAGCGTTTGAAATGCTGATAAAATCGACTGCTGAACGCAAGTTTGGTGCGGTCAAAAATCGACTGTAAACTCAAATGCCTGTAAACGGCATTGTGTACATGGACACATAGGAAGACATTAGGGAGAGTTCAGGGGCTGCTGGAAAAAAAAACACTGAACAGCTAAACGTGAGTTTATCAGCTGCAGTGTACATAAGCCTTACTAAGTAAATGAAAGTAGAATTATAGAAAAAACTTTTTCAAATATTGGATAGAGTACAGTAGGGATATAACACCTGGCAGATGTTTTTTTTCCCCCTGCACACTGTGTCTCATGGAGATTTCCCTATACTTCCTGTCCCATAGCCAAATAGGAAGTGATAGGAAATCCCTGCAAATTAAGGGAATTCTTTGGGGACCCCCAGGTTATCAGAACTAGTGTCTGCATTGGAAGATTTCCCCTCAACTACTTTTCTGGGGACAACCCAAAATTTGGAATTTTCATTTTACTTTCCATGATAATGGTACAAACAGAGAGGGTGAATCTAATTTATGGGGACACAGACAGCAATAAAAACTGACAGTTGTTCTAATCCCTCTCTACTCTACCAAAAACTAAAAAAAAAAAAAAAAAAAAAAAAAAGTTGCCTTTAGTTATACTTGAAGCCCCATTTCATGGAGAATAAAAATCGTCCCTTGCAGTGATCCTACCCCTGCACTGTGAGTTTAGGTCTCAGGGATGTGAAAAGTAGTCTCCTTTATGCTCCAGCACAGGACTGTTCCTTGGTGTCCTCATATCTTGTGCAGTGCTATGGGACATAATTATGTCAGAGGATCTGTGACCACCAGAACATTTCAGGGAAGAGGCAGTGGAGACTGGTTTTAGAGCACAAAGGGAGCCTGTGGGAGTGAGGGATCAAGTAGGTAAAATGGCTTTTCTTGTTCCCCTAGACCAGGGGTGTTAAACTCCATTTCATTGTGGACTGCATCAGCATTACAGTTCCCCTCAAAGGGCCAGTTGTATCTGTAAGACTAGATGTTCAAAGCACCCCACCCTTCCTACTTCAGATGTCAAGAGAACCCTCCCCCCCTGTACACCACAGTGTACCCCCCTTACCTTGATCTGCTGCCAGGAAGGAGCTGGAGAATGAGATGGAAAGCACAAAGTGGAGGACCAGAGAAGGGCTGGAGTCAGCTGCCAGAGTCTGCTGAATGCTGAGTCCAGGGGAGGCAGAGATGAGAGGTGCTGCCATTGCACAGAGAAGTGCAGGATCTGTAGGAGGAGTTCTGTCCTCCTCTTGACTGCTGGGACAAAGTGAGGGTGAGGACGAAGGGGGTGCCAAAGCTGCAGGAGAGGTGCTAGGGCCATGTTAAATAGCCTGGACGGCCGTATTCGGCCTGTGGGCCTTGTGTTTGACACATGTGCCTTAGACCTAAAACCCCCCCCCCCCAAAAAAAAAAAAAAAAAAAAACTCTTGCAGTGCAGGAGCAGCCCACAGTATTTGAGCCTTTTTCTTTAGCTGCAGTTCCACTTTATACACTTACAGCTTATCCTACCCAATATACAGTACTTGACTCAGTTATTAGATGTAATTCATTCATCTCCCCACATGGAGGCGGTAGGTCTTTATTAAACTTTCCATTTCTGGCACTCTGTAGATAAAAATCAAACATTGAAAGAATTAAATTGCAAAAGTTAAGATTGAACTCCAGGCAAGTATATGTTAAAAAAAATGTATATTTTGTTCACACTTGACAATTTTGTTGTGTTATTTGTGCATGTTTGTACACACACTTTTCTGGATTGTGTATTTTAATTTCTATCCAATGGAAAGCTAGTTAGCAGAAGAAGAGGCAAGAAATCGCATTTACAAAAGAGCATTATGTGCATTTTAGGTGTGTTTAAAATTTGAAGTCTGTAGGGATCAAAAACATGTGACTCTGCTCCAAAAATATCATGTATTATGCTAAATACAGTTCAAACAGCACTTCCGGCCGGTGCATCTGTTAGCGAAGCAAATGGTTCATTTGGACCAGCTTCGTTCAACTGAATTATTTAAAGTCACAAGAAACCTGAAGTTGGGCTTTAACCACTTGCCTACCGGGCACTTATACCCCCTTCCTTACCAGGCCAATTTTCATCTTTCAGCGCTGTCGCATTTTGAATGACAATTGCGCGGTCATGCAACATTGTACTCATATGAAATTTTTATAATTTTTTTCTCACAAATAGAGATTTCTTTTAGTGGTATGTACTCCCCGCTGAGTGTTTTTTACTTTTTGCGCTATAAACAAAAAAGTGCAAAAATGAAAAAAAAAAGTGTCTTTGTTTCTATTATAAAAATTTGAAACCAGGTATTTTTTCTCCTTCACTGATGTGTGTTGATGAGGCGGCACTGATGAGCTGTCACTGTTGATGGGTACTGATAGCCAGCACTGACAGGCGGCACTGCTGGGAACTGGTGAGTGGCACAGGTGGGCATCGATCATCAGGCACTAATCATCAGTGTGCTGATGATCGGTGCCGATCCCTGCTCTGACAACTGCCGGTTCTCGACAGTACTTTCCTGATGCGTTGACAGCGTGAGGAAAGTGCAGTCGAGAACCGGCAATTGCATTTTCCAGTGATCAGCGCGTCATTGGACACGGCTGATCATGTGGTAAAAGGCCGCTGTGATTGGCCTTTTACCACATCACGTGATCAGCTGTGTCCGTGTGATGGATTTGGTAAAATGCCTATTTCGTTTTCTATTGAATATATATATACGCTATTTCTATGAGTTTTATAAATATTTATTTTTATATTTTAATATTATTTCTTTCCACATATTTATAAATGTTTAGCATGAATATATATGCTGTGTGAATATTTTCTGCCTGCTGGGCTTTGTGGTACTTTAAGAAATCCTTGCTTAAGAAATATTTGCTCACAGGAACAGACCCCTCCCATCGTGTGATTTGGAAGACAAAAGAATGTTTTTCTCTTTTTAAGATAAGACTGAAGAAGATCACACCTATACCATGACGGAGATTGTTTTCGTGTAAAGTGACCAATCAAAGAC